ATTACAGGCATGTGCTACCACGCCCAGCTAATGTTTGTATTTTTAGCAGAGATGGGATTTCGCCATGTTGGCCAGGCGGGTCTCGAACTCCTGATCTCAAGTGATCCAACTGCCTTGGCCTCCCAAAATGCTGGGATTATAGGTGTGAGCCACTGTATCCAGCCATATATTTTTTAGTACTTAGAAAACAGATGAGTTACAGCTAAAGGATTTTGAAAAGAAGCCAAAAACAAGCTACATCCATTTGAAATGTGTAGATAGGAACACATAGGTAATGTCTCTCTGAAATGATCTTATTTTTCTATAAAAAGTGAGAAAAGTCTACATTAAAAATGCATACCTGACAGGCAGACTTCTACTAGTACTTATAGAAACCTCTGGGATTAAATTCTTCCATTTAGAGCTCGAAAACTCAATAGATTTCAACACAGAAATGCCTTCTTCTAAAGAAGACTTCATCCAACAAGCTCTTTCATATCGTTGTTGGGACACACAGCCAGCGTCTTTATACCCTAGGGAAGGGAGAAAGAGAATATAATGAGTCGTGTGGTTTTTAAAGCAAATTTTTTCGTAGAGACAGGGTCTCACTATGTTGCCCAGGCTGGTCTTAAACTCCTGGCCTCAAGTGATCCTCTTGCGTTGGTCTCCCAAATTGCTTAGATTATAGGTGTGAGCCACCATGCCTGGCTGGATTGCAGGACTCAGGAAAGAATTACCTCGCAGCGTGAGCCGGATGTCAGCATTATCAGGGCGCAGTGACAAACGGAACTCTACTCGGCTGGTAAACATGCGATATGGTTCGCTGGTGCCCAGAGTGGTGAGGTCATCAATCAAGACTCCTATGTAACCTTCTGTTCGGCTAACCACAAAGGGAGGCTTGCGACTGACCCGAAGACTGGCATTGATTCCAGCTATCACACCCTACGAGAGCACTATAATGTTTAAAAGGCCATTATGAACGGAACAAAGGGTTATCCCATTCAGAACACTACCCGGAAACAATGGCATAGGACACAAAGAAAGCAAGTATTGCCCCTAAAGGATATAATAGAGGTAGAAAATATGATCCATATGCAGAAATAGAATATGGGTAATGTATCACTTTAGAAGGCTATGATTCATTGTTTTCAGAGATATCTATCTAATCTTCCTGATAAGCCTCTGCGGGGACTAATCTTTTTTTAATCCAGAGACAGGGTCTTCCTCTGTCACCTAGGCTGGAGAGTAATGGCATAATCTTGGCTCACTGCAGCCTCGACTTCCTGAGTTTAAGCAATCCTCCCACCTCATCCTCCCAAGTAGCTGGGACTATAGGCACATGCCATCACACCTGGCTAATTTTTACATATTTTTGTAGAGATGGGGTCTCACTATATTGCTCAGGCTGGTCTCTAACTCCTGGCTCAAGCAATTCTCTCTCCTCAGCCTCCCAGAGTGCTGGGATTACAGGTGTACGCCACCATGCCCAGCCGGTTAATCTTTTTTTAAAACCCACCTGTGACATTTCTCTAGCCTTTTCCCACTGCAAATAAAAATAAAATAATTTCTGACTTCCAAGGAATAATAATATAATAATTCCTAATGAAGTATATTAAAATAAATTTTAAACTTCAGAAGCAATACATCTAATCAAAATACGATATCACACAGGAGCTCAGAAAACAGTAATAAAGCCATAGTGTTTTAATAATCTTATTATTGGCTGGGCCAGGTGGTTCACACCTGTAATCCCAGAACTCTGGGAGGCCAAGGCAGGTGGATCACCTGAGGTCAGGAGTTTGAGACCGGCCTGGCCAACACAGTGAAACCGTATCTCCACTAAAAATGCAAAAACTAGCTGGGTGTTGTGGTGCATGCCTGCAGTCCCAGCTACTAAGGAGGGCTGAGGCAGGAGGATCGCTTGAACCTGGGAGATCATATCACTGCACTCCAGCCTGGCAACAGGGCAAGACTCTGTCTCAAAAACAAAAACAAAAAAGATCCTATTATCTACAAAAGCCATCTCCAAACACCCCCAAACAGAAATTGTCTTCTATTAGTATGAGTTGTATCTAAGATCTATATAGTTAACACAACAGACATTAAAAGGAGAAATACCAGTTAAATAGTCCCTTTCGGCCGGGCGCGGTGGCTCACGCCTATAATCCCAGCACTTTAGGAGGCCGAGCTGGGCAGATTATGAGGTCAGGAGATTGAGACCATCCTGGCTAACACAGTGAAATCCCATCTCTACTAAAGAATACAAAAAATTAGCCAGGCGTAGTGGCAAGCGCCTATAGTCCCAGATACTCGGGAGGCTGAGGCAGGAGAATGGCGTGAATGCAGGAGGTGGAGGTTGCAGTGAGCCACTCCAGCCTGGGCAACAGAGCAAGACTCTGTCTCAAAAAAAAAAAAAAAAAAATTGTCCCTTTCAGTTTACATTAACATTTTAACAACTTCTTACTTGAGCTGCAGCTTCTTCATAACCAGTGGTGCCATTGATCTGTCCAGCAAAGAAGAGTCGTTGAACCAAGTGAGTCTCCAGGGAAGGAGTGATCTGACGGGGATCTAAGTAATCATACTGAACACCGTAGCCTGACCAAAGAATAAAGACATTAAATAAGTAAATACAGAGCTGGATTTGCTCAAGGTAGACATGCAAACATTACCCTTAAATGCCCTTTAAAAACAGACTATTTAGGTCGGGAGCAGTGGCTCACACCTGTAATCCCAGCACTTTGGGAGGCTGAGGTGGGTGGATCACCTGAGGTTGGGAGTTCGAGACCAGCCTGACCAACATGGAGAAACCCTGTCTCTACTAAAAATACAAAATCAGTCAGGCACGGTGATACATGCCTATAATCCCAGCTACTCAGGGGGCTGAGGCAGGAGAATCACTTGAACTGGGAGGGAGAGGTTGTGGTGAGGTGAGATCACGCCATTGCACTCCATCCTGGGCAACAAGAGCAAAACTCCATCTCAAAACAAACAAACAAACAAAAACCAGCCTATTTAAAACATACAGGTGTTGGGCTTCATCTTCTGAGGCTCTGAGCAACAATGACTGTAGCTAAGGCCTCCTTACTGACCATTAAAACAATGCCGACTTTATACTGAAGGGCAGCTGTGATCCGCTTTACCTGGCTGAATCACTTTAGCTTTCTCCAAGCCTCTGATGCATGTGATCATTTTCTCTTGTAATTCAGCTGGTAGCGTCATAGATAACCCCTGTGGGTAGATAAGGTCAGAATCCATTCCTTCAGGTTCCAACCAAACCTGATGTAGACGGTTTGGAAAACGCAAAACTTTTGATTCAATGGAGGGACAGTATCTAGAACAGAACATTTAAATAAACTTGAAATGAACAAAAGAGGATTGACATCATTTCTTAAAGTAATTGAGCACTGACATTTTGTCCTTACCGAGGTCCTCTTGTTGTTTCCTTAACATGACTATTAAGGTGAAGGTTCTTAAGGACAATCTCATCCACTTTAGGGTTAGTGTGAGTCAAGTAACATGGTAGCTGATCTTCTGGCTGAAAAACAGTAACCAGATGCAATACTGATTTGCTTCTCTACTAGTTTCTCTCTTATCCAAATAAATCCCACATGATATGTACTGATTTTAACAGACACTAAACTTATGCATAATGCCTAGTATTACTTATGAAGTATTCTTGCCAAAAATAAACATCCCAAAAGATGAAGTTAAAATTTAAGCAAATCTCTAAATTTAACCAGTAGTTTAATTTTTTTTTTTTTTTTTTTAGATGGAGTCTCACTCTGTTGCCCAGGCTGGAGTGCAGTAGCGTGATCTCAGCTCACTGCAACCTCCGTGTCCCGGGTTCAAGTAATTCTCCTGCCTCAGCCTCCCAAGCAGCTGGGATCACAGGCAGGCACCACTACGCCTGCCTAATTATTGTATTTTTGGTAGAGACAGGGTTTCACCATGTTGGTCAAGCTGGTCTCAAACTCCCGACCTCGGGTGATCCACCTGCCTCAGCCTCCCAAAGTGCTGGGATTACAGGCATGAGTCACCACACGCAGAGCCACCGCGCGCAGCTGAGGGTTAACTTTCAATAGATCGCACTGAGGTAGTTGCTCTGCTGTGTCTGAAACCCCACCCCAGAAGCAGGTCATATAGGAATGGTTCAGTGTCAGGTTCTCCACAAAAATGCGTTGCATGACGGGCAAGGGGGCAGCTGCCTTTCCAGCAGCACCACCTGATATTGTTTCAAAAAGCTTAATTTAGGCTGGGCATGGTGGCTTACGCCTGTAATCCCAGCATTTTGGCAGGCTGAAGGTGGATCACCTCAGGTCAAGAGTTTGAGACCAGTCGGGTGCAGTGGCTCATGCCTATAATGCCAACACTTTGGGAGGCCGAGGCGGGCAGATCACCTGAGGTTGGGAGTTCGTGACCAGCCTGACCAACGTGGAGAAAACCCATCTCTACTAAAAATACAAAATTAGCCAGATGTGGTGGCGCATACCTGTAATTCCAGCTACTCAAGAAGCTGAGGCGGGAGAATCGCTTGAACCTGGGAGGTGGACATTGCAGTGAGCCAAGATCGCGCTGTTGCACTCCATCCTGGACAACAAGAGTGAAATGCCATCTCGGAAAAAAAACAGTTCAAGACCAGCCTGATCAACATGGTGAAACCCTGTCTCTACTAAAAATACAAAAACAAATTAGCCGGGCATGGCGGTGGGCACCTGTAATTCCAGCTACTAGGAAGGCTGAGGCAGGAGCATCACTTGAACCCAGGGGGCAGAGGCTGCAGTGAGCTGAGATCGCCCTATTGTACCACAGCCTGGGCAACAAGACTGAATCTCCATCTCAAAAAAACAAAACAAAACAAAAAATGCTTATTTGATCAGGCACGGTGGCTCATGCCTATAATCCCAGCACTTTGAGAGGCTGAGGTGGGTGGATGGCTTAAGCCCAAAAGTACGAGACCAGCCTGGATAATATGGCGAGACCCTGTCTCTATTAAAAATAATAATAAATGAAAAAAAATTTTTTTTGAATAAAAGCTTAATTTACAAAATATGTAAGGTTATAAAAGTAATGAAATTTAAGATTTACCAGGCACGGTGGCTCACGCCTGTAATGCTAGCACTTTGGGAGGCTGAGGAGGGCGGATCACCTGGATCACCTGAGGTCATGAGTTCAAGACCAGTCTGGCCAACATGGTAAAACCCCGTCTCTATTAAAAATACAAAAATTAGCCAGTGTGGTGGCAGGAGCCTGTAATCCCAGCTACTCAAGAGGCTGAGGCAAGAAAATTGCTTGAACCTGGGAGGCGGAGGTTGCAGCGAGTCGAGATCGTGCCATTGCACTCCAGCCTGGGCAACAATGGCAAAACTCTGTCTCAAAAAAAAGAAAAAAAAAAAAGTCGGGCGCAGTGGCTCATACCTGCAATCTCAGCACCAGCACTTTGGGAGGTTGAGGCAGGCGGATCACCTGAGGTCAGGAGTTCAAAACCAGTCTGGCCAACATGGTGAAACCCCGTCTCTACAAAACTATAAAAATTAGCTGGGCATGATGGCAGGTGCCTGCAATCCCAGCTACTAGGGAGGCTGAGGTGGGAGAATCGCTTGAACCCAGGATGCGGAGATTGCAGTGAGTCAAGATTTCGCCACTGCATTCCAGCAGGGTGACAGAGCGAGATGGTCTCAAAAAAAAAAAAAAAAGAAATTTACGATTTATGGGGAAATACCCAATTAGCCAAGTTAGCCAATCCCTTTTAGATAGATTACTTCTTTAGGCTGAGTGCAGTGGCTCATGCCTATAATCCCAGCACTTTGAGAGGCTGAAATGGGTGGATCATGAGGTCAGGAGTTTGAGACCAGCCTGGCCAATATGGTGAAACCCCATCTCTACTAAAAATATAAAAATTAGCTGGGCATGGTGGCGCACACCTGTATACTCGGGAGGCTGAGGCAGAAGAATTGCTTGAACCCAGGAGGCAGAGGTTGCAGTGAGCTGAGATCATGCCACTGCTCTCCAGTCTAGGTGACAGAGCAAGTCTCCATCTCAAAAAAAAAAAAAAAAGATTGCTTATTTGGCTGGGTTCGGTGGTTTACACCTGTAATCCTAGCACTTTGGGAGGCCAAAGCGGGTAGACCCTTTGAGCCCAGGAGTACAAGACCAGCCTGGGCAACATAGTGAGACCCCATTTCTCAAAAAAATTTAAAAAATTAGCCAGGCACAATGGCTCCACGCCTATGGTCTCAGTTACTCAAAGGGGTTGAGGTGGGAGGATCACTTGATCCCAGGAGGTCAAGGCTGTAGTGACCCATAATTGTACCACTGCACTCCAGCCTGGGTGACAAGGTGAGACCCTATCTCAAAAAAAAAAAAAAAAAAAAATCACTTTTTTGCACTATAAGCAATAGTGCTATAAAGTGAACTACTGCCAAAAAAAAAAAAAAAAAAAGTTACAATACTTCCTGCTGCGAATAGCCAATATCAGCTGTAAGCCAGGTTTTCATAAAGTATCTTACCTTAATCCATACTGTCTCATTGGTAAAGCTGAATGGTACGGATGGATTGTCCGGTGTCTGCTTGTTTAGAATACTGAAATTAATGGAGTCTTTGGCAATTCGGGGTGGAGTCCCAGTCTTCAACCTTCCCACCACAAACCCTAACTTCTCCAGCGTCTGAGCCAATCCTATAGAAGGCTGATCCCCTAAACGTCCTGCTGGATGCATCTCCAATCCAATTACAATCATGCCTCTCAGAAATGTCCCAGTAGTCAGAATCACACTCTCTGCATATACTGTGCTTCCATCCACTAAATAACAAGAAAAAAGAATAAAGTCATTATCTATCTATCTATCTATCTATCTATCTATCTATCTATCTATCTGAGATGAAGACTTGCTCTATCGCCAGGCTGGAGTGTAGGGGTGCAATCTTAGCTCACTGAAACCTCCGCCTCCCGTGTTCAAGCAATTCTCCTGCCTCAGCCTCCCGAGTAGCTGAGATTACAGGCATGTGCCACCACGCTCAGCTAGTTTTGTATTTTTAGTAGAGATGGGGTTTCTCCATGTTGGTCAGGCTGGTCTTGAACTCCTGACCTCAGGTGATCCACCCACCTCAGCCTCCCAAAGTGCTGGGATTACAGGCGTGAGCCACCGTGCCCGGCCTAAAGTCATTTTTCAATTGTTACCATGGATAAAAATGGAATGTAATTATTTTTTATTAGAACTACAGAAAAACTATCAGTCTTTAGAAACTTGAGAATCATATTTAATATTTTTGTTTTTTCAAGCCATATCGACATATAACAGACATATAAAAAAACTGCATATATTTAGAGCATGCAACATGGTGTTTTGATACAAGTATACCTTCTGTGATGATACCCATAATCAAGCTAATTAATATAACCATCAGCTCACATAGTTACACATTTTGTTTGTGTGGTGAGAACACTCACGATTTACTCCCTTAGCAAATTTTAAGTATATCGTACATTATTATTAACTACAGTTACCATACTGCTCACTAGATTGCTAGAACTTATTCAACACTTACAGCTGAAAATGTGTAAACTTTAAGCAATATCTTCCCATTTCCCATACCCCAGACAAAGCATTTTAAATGAGTCAGAAGGCTACATGTTATTAATCTCAATCTAAGCAATGTAGGAGAGAGAATACAATGTGTTATCACCAATTCACATGTACCTAAAATCATTATCAACACTAAAAAGTCTCAATTAATTTTAAAAATTAATTAATTTTAGCCTTCAGGATAAATATGGCATACAACCTCACATTTTTTCTCCCTTCTAAAACTCAAAGAAAATCCAACAGGGGAAAAAAAAGGTATAAAACCAAAAGGACAAGTAATGAAAAAGAACCAGTCAGAACACGAGAAATTTCAATATATTTTTGAAAGATAGAAAGTGGTTAAAAGAATGATAACTCACCTAGCAGAGAGGAGACAGCTATAACTTAAGTATTAATATCTGAAGAGAAGATATCAATGAGATGAACAAATTTGCCCTGCAAAGGCTCAGAAATTGGAGAACTGAGAATAAGAACTGAGGAGGAATGTAGAAACGAAACTTGGGTCAGAAAATAAAATAAACAGCTGACATTTGCACATTAAGGTTTTGTTCTCAGATAGCTCTACCTTACAGTAAAATGGAGGTTTATTCTTCAGGTAATGGGGACTTTTTGTTTAATGGATACAGAATTTTAATTTGGGATGATAAAAAAGTTCAAGAGACAACTGGTGGTGATCAGTGCACAATACTGTCAATGTACTTAGTAGTACTGAATTGTATATTTAAGAATGGTTAAAATGGTACATTTTATGGTTTGTATATTTTACTACAAAAAATTGTTACTGTTGGGCCTACAAAATATGGACAGGGTCACAAAATAGCATTTAAAGATATTAAATTAAATTGGCCAGGCGCAGTGGCTCATGACTATAACACCAACATTTTGAGAGACTGGGGCAGGAAGATCACTTCAGCCCAGGGGTTCAAGACCAGTCCTGGCAACATAGTGAGACTCCCATCTCTACAAAATAATAATAATAATAATAATAAATCAGCCAGAGGTGGTGACACATGCTTGTGGTCCCAGCTACACAGGAGGCTGAGGCAGGACGATCACTTGGGCCCAGGTGGTCGAGGCTACGGTGAGCTGTGATCATGCCACTGCACTCCAGCCTAAGCAATAGGGCAAGAACTTGTCTCAAAAATAAATAAATAAACAATTTAAGGGTATAAACTTAAATACTAATAAAAACACTATAACCATTAAATCTGGAAAATAAAGAAAGTCAGAGGAGAAAAGGAAATGAAAGTAAAACTAGTAATTGTTACTTGAGGGAAGTCAGTGAGCATATTATATTATATATAAAATCATAGCTTTTAAGATAACCATCAGAACAAACTCACAAACTTTAAAAAAAAAAAAAAAAAAAAGCATGGTCTCCAAAAGCAAAGCAAACACAGATTAAGGTTTTTTTTGAAAATAAGTACAGAGAACAGTGTGTTTGTGTATAATATGCTACAATTTTGTGAAAACAATAAAAAATATGTATACATATACATGAAAACATGTACATATGCCTAGGTAGAAAGACTACCCAAGAGATTAACAAAGCAAATGCTCCTGAGAAAGAAAACTGGCTGGTTGAGGGGACAAAGTGAAGGAGACAGACCATCTTTTTTTCCTTTTGAGACAGACTCTTGCTCTCACCCAGGCTGGAATGTAGTAGTGAGATCTCAGCTCACTGCAACCTCCACCTTCCAGGTTCAAGTGATTCTCCTGCCTCAGCCTCCTGAGTAGCTGGGACTACAGGTGTGAGCCATCATGGCTGGCTCATTTTTGTATTTTTAGTAGAGACAAGTTTCGCCATGTTGGCCAGACTAGTCTCAAACTCCCAACCTCAGATGATCCACCTGCCTCAGCCTCCCAAAGTGCTGGGATTACAGGTGTGAGCTACAACGCCCAGCTAAGACAGACTATCTTTTCACTCTATATGCTTTTTGTAGCTTTTAAGTTGTTTGCCCTATGTATTTCCCAATCAAGAAAATTAATTAATCTATAATAAAAATGAAAATGGGAATTAAGATATGTATTTTAAAAGATGATACTCCCAGGCCGGGCACGGTAGCTCACGCTTGTAATCCCAGCACTTTGGGAGGCAAAGGCGGGCATACCACGAGGTCAGGAGATTGAGACCATCCTGGCTAATGCGGTGAAACCCTGTCTCTACTAAAAATACAAAAAATTAGCGGGGCGTGGTGGCACGCGCCTGTAGTCCCAGCTACTCGAGAGGCTGAGGCAGGAGAATCGCTTGAACCCAGGGGACAGAGGTTGCAGTAAGCTGAGATCATGCCACTGCACTCCAGCCTGGGCTACACAGCAAGACTCTGTCTCAAAAATAAATAAAAAAAATTAAAAATAAATAAATAAAAAATAAAATAAAAGATGACACTCCCTGGCACAGCCTCTCTTACCATTTTGTTCCCAAAATGCTAGTGGGCAGCCGTATTATTCTCTTAGGTGGAAAATTGATTCTTCTGAGAACTAACAGACATTGATATTTGAGAATTCACCAGTCCAAAAGGCTGGTTCAAGTCTTTTCTTTTTTTTCTTTTGAGATGGAGTTTCGCTCTTGTTGCCCAGGCTGGAGTGCAGTGGCACTACCACGGGTTACTACAACCTGCACCTCCAGGGTTCAAGTGGTTCTCCTGCCTCAGCCTCCCGAGTGGCTGGGATTACAGGCATGCGCCACCACACCTGAGTAATTTTGTATTTTTATAGAGACAGGTTTCTCCATGTTGGTCAGGCTGGTCTCAAACTCCCAACCTCAGGTGATCCACCCACCTCAGCCTCCTAAAGTGCTACGATTACAGGCACGAGCCACCGCGCCCCGGCAGTTCAAGTTTTAATCACCTCCAGAATTAGCCAGGCAATAAAATTAACTGTGCATACATAAATCCTCCAGTCAGTGTTTTAGTGCCTTATTATTTATTTAGAGACAGAGTCTCACTCTTGTTGCCCAGGCTGGAGTGCAGTGGCACTATCTTGGCTCACTGCAACCTCCGCCTCCTGGGTTTAAGTGATTCTCCTGCCTCAGCCTGCCTCTTGAGTAGCTGGAATTACAGGTGCATGCCACCACACCCAGCTAATTTTTGTATTTTTAGTAGAGACAGGTCCATCACATTGGCCAGGCTAGTCTCGAACTCCTGACCTCAGGTGATCCGCCCGCCTCGACCTCCCAAAGTGCTGGGATTACAGGTGTGAGCCACCGTGCCCGGCCTAGTGGTTCATTTAAAAACATAACAGGCTGGCTCATGCCTATAATCCCAATACTTCGGGTGATTGAGGTGGGAGGACACTTGAGCCTAGGAGTTCAAGACCATCCTAGGTAACATAGGGAGGCAACATAGGGAGATCCCACATCTCCAAAAAAATTAAAAATAAGCTGGGTGTGGTGGTGTACATGTATAGTCCCAGCTACTTGGGAGATTAAAGTGGGAGGATCACCTCTGGAAGGTGGAGGCTGCAGTGAGCCATCATAGTGCCACTGCACTCCAACCGGGGTGACAGAGTAAGACCCTGTCTCCAAAACCAAAAACGCAAAAAAGTAAACAGAAAACCAAAGTTCACTAGATATTTAAAGGAAGTTGTGTACATGAAAGAGAGCAGCCCAAACACATAAACAGAAGTAAAAAATCTGGAGAAGGCCAGGCATGGTGGCTCACACCTATAATACCACCACTTTGGGAGGTGGAGGTAGACGGATCACTTGAGGTCAGGAGTTCGAGACCAGACTGGCCAACATGGTGAAACCTTGTCTCCACTAAAAACACAAAAATTAGCTGGGCATGGTTGCTGGTGTCTGTAATCCCAGCTACTTGGGAGGCTGAGGCAGGAGAATTGCTTGAACCCAGGAGATGGAGGTTGCAGTGAGCCAAGATTGTACCACTGCACTCCAGCCTGGGTGACAGAGTAAGACTTTGTCTCAATAAATAAGTAAATAAATAAATAAATAAAATACAACAATTATTAACTCAAGGCAAAACCAAGTATATGAAACGGACAAACATAATACACCTCTGTGCAGTAAACAATACTTAGTCAACAATGTAAATATATCAACCAAAAATTATGGTATAATTATATTAGAAGGAGAAAGGGAAGGAAAGTTGGATATTAAAGAGAATTACCATAATAATAAGTTAATAGGCTGGGCACAGTGGCTCACGCCTATAATCCCAGCACTTTCGGACACTGAGGCGGGCGGATCGTTTGAGTTCAGGAGTTCAAGACCAGCCTGACCAATATGGTGAAACCCTGTCTCTACTGAAAATACAAAAAATTAGGCGGGCATGGTGGCAGGTGCCTGTAATCCCAGCTACTTGGGAGGTTGAGGCAGGAGAATCGCTTGAACCTGGGAGGGAAGCGTTGCAGTCAGCTGAGATGGTACCACTGCACTACAGCCTGCGCGACAGAGCCAGATTCCGTCTCAAAAAATGTTAATAGATGGCTGGGTGCGGTGGCTCACGGCTGTAATCCCAGCACTTTGGGAGGGCAAGGTGGCTGGATCACGAGGTCAGGAGATCGAGACTATTCTGGCCAACGTGGTGAAACCCCATCTCTACTAAAAATACAAAAATTAGCTGGGCATGGTGGTACATGCCTATAGTCCCAGCTACTCAGGAGGCTGAGGCAGAATCGTTTGAACCCGTGAGGCGGAGGTTGCAGTGAGCCGATATCGCACCACTGCATTCCAGCCCAGCACAGTGAGACTCCACCTCAAAACAAAAAAAGTTAATATATAAAGTCTAGAACTGTAAATTAGGAAGTAAAAGCATAAGCCTGCTATTTAGACATATGGAAGTATATATAAGTGACAACTAAAAAAGTTGAAGTGTCTCTCCGGTGAAGTAGATGGTTGTTTTCCCACATAAATTTCAAAATTTCTTTTTTATTTATTTATTTATGTATTTATTTATTTATTTATTTATTTTGAGACAGAGTTTCACTCTTGTTGCCCAGGCTGGAGAGCAATGGTATGATCTCAGCTCACCGCAACCTCCGCCTCCTGGGTTCACGCGATTCTCTGGCCTCAGCCTCCTGAGTAGCTGAGATTTCAGGCATGTGCCACCACACCTGGCTAATTTTGTATTTTTAGTAGAGACGTGTTTCTCCATGTTGTTCACACTAGTCTTGAACTCCCAACCTTAGGCGATCTGCCCGCCTCAGCCTCCCAAAGTGTTGGGATTACAGGCATGAGCCACTACACCCAGACTTATTTTTTATTTATTTTTTTGACACAGGGTCTCACTCTGTCACCCAGGCTGGAGTGCAGCAGCACAATCACAGCTCACTGAAGTCTCAACCTCCTGGGCTCAAGCAATCCTCCCACTTCAGCTACTTGAGTAGCTGAGACTACAGGCACCTGCTACAACGCCGGCTAATTTTTGTATTTTTTTGTAGATATGGGGGTTTTGCCATCTTGCTAAGGCTGGTCTCAAACTCCTGGGCTCAAACAATCCACCTACCTCAGCCTCCCAAAGTGCTAGGATTACAGGCATAAGCCACCATGCCCAGACCCTTTTAATATTTTAAGAAAAAATTATATGCATGATTTGATAAAAAATATATAACTGTTTTACATAAAAATATATATAAGCTGTTAAAATATGAATTTTTAAAAAAATTAAAGTCAGAACCAGAAAAAACAGAAATTACAATAGATGGGGAGAGAGGGAGACATAAATATGCAGATTATAAAGTTCTACACTAAGATGGAACATGGTACTTACTGATGAGCCTAGAATTTGAGCATCATAAATGTTAAGGTGAAAAGAGAAACGTATTTATTTATACAGTTTTCCTCATCCAGGTAGAGAAAATGCAACAAGTTCCTTGAATAAGCAACATATCTCCATACTTAGCTCTAAAATAAATTTATCACATGGAATATGATATGCTGTTATCACACACCATCTATAACCAATACGTACCCAAAACAACCCCACTGACACGGCATTTCCCAGTGTGTTCAGGCTCTGGTTCTGTAAGAATAAGATCTTCTACAGCTCCCTCCTGAACAGTAAGCAGTGGTGTATTCAAGATTTCTTTCTGTCAAAAGAAAATATCAGTTGAAACATGGTAATTAAACAATCACTATAATCTTTCCCGTGCTCATGCCCTATTCTTACCTGCATGTTCTGTTTATAGAGTTTCCTATCAATCTGAGCTCTCAGACCCCACACAGCCGGTCCCTTACGCCGGTTTAAAACTTTATAATGTACACCAGACTGGTCACAGATGCGAGAACACAGGCCATCCAAGGCATCTACTTCCCTCATTAAATGTCCCTTGCCGATGCCACCAAAGGAAGGATTACATGACATCTGACCTAAAGAGAATAGACGTAAACAAAATAAATATATGAACACTTTGTACATAGTGACTACTTAATAAGAAAATATTTATACAGGTGACTATAATCATCTCATACGATAAAAAATAGAAAACGTGAAAGATATACTACAAAGAAAATCCCAAAGACCCAATGGGATGCAGAAGTGTCCAGGGCAATCTGGATGACAAACCACTTTCTGAACTTCCTTTTGTTTTTTTTAAGATGGAGTATCATTCTGTTACCCAGGCTAGAGTGCAGTGGTGCAGTCTCGGCTCACTGCAACCTTTGCCTTCCGGGTTCAAGCAATTCTCCTGCCTCAGCCTCCTGAGTAGCTGGGATTACAGGTGTCCGGCACCATGCCCAACTAATTTTTGTATTTTTGGTAGAGACAGGTTTCACCATGTTGACCAGGCTGGTCTCAAACTCCTGACCTCAGGTGATCTGCCCACCTCAGCCTCCCAAAGTGCTGG